ACAAAGCCTACGAGTGGTTGTCAACATCACAGTTAAGTTTCCCGCTATACTTATTGTTATTGCGCATTATTATTCTGAATTTAGTATGATATATGATGCTACTGTTCTTCTAGTAACCGTAATGGTGCACGCCTTCAAATGTACATTATATATGTTTCTTTGACACATTTCACTGTTTTTTACATTGCAGGATTCTTAATAATTATTTGCACCAATGTCATCTTAACTTCTGGTAAGTCATTCTTTTCTGTTCATTCACTTATTCCAGAAGCTACGAACCGCAAATTGACAGATCACATGTTTACGAACGTCTTATTGTCATTCAGGTCAGTGTGAGTCTGGTATAAAACAACTTCGAGTTGGACCCCCCGGCGAAATTATAACTTTGACCTCACCAAATTATCCGTCCAATTATCCAAGCTTCGCTGATTGTAAATGGGTACTGACAGCGCCACCTGGCGACTACCTTATTGAACTTAGAATTCAATCGTTAGAGATTGAGCGGACAATGTCGTGTATCTATGACAGCCTCGTTATTAATGATGGTGAGTATCTCAAGGTCAAAGTTCATATTAGCAGTACATTTAATTATGACTATGAATATCGTTGGACTTGTTTTGAAACCACGTGAATTTGCGTTTTCTATCTTGGCAATTGACAAACCAATCTGATTTTTTACTTTTAATACGATTACTTGATTTTATTTTACTATTAATAAATGCTTCATGTTTTGACCGATCACTTCAGCACATTTTAACCACACACTTGAATATGTATATACCGTGAATTTGAACCTCGGAATCTCTTTTATTCGAATTATAGATTTTTTCTTCACGTTTTCCTATCTTTAGGTTCGCGTTCGTCATCCCCGCTTCTTGAAAAACTATGTGGCGTGAAATACCCGGATGTAATACAGAGTTCTGGAAGCAGCATTTATATTCACTTCTATTCCGATTCAAGTACAGAAAAGTCAGGATTCGAAATTGACTACACGAGTAAGCATCTTTATTCTATTCATGCGGGTTATGTTTGGACTAGTAATATATGTTTCAATTGCACAAATGTAACTATGTGAAAAACGAAGGGAACATAATGTGTTGTAAGATTCTTTGGATGATAAAATACAGAAATGACATCAACTAACAATTGAGCCGATTAATTGAAACATGATCATAGAAATGAGAAACATTCTGGATTCGATCGGGAAGGGTATAACACCATTATCATTCAATGGTAAATTAAGACGCGCCATGACTGGTTGTATTATACATCCGGCAAATATGGGATTGGTTGCATGATAAGGGAGATATATACTTGTGGGTAAAATGTCGTTGTATGTGATTGGTTATATCAAAGAGACATATAATTGGTTGAATGCCGTATCCGAAATTGTCACCGACCTCTGTGATATTATTTCCAACATGTATATACGAGAAGAAAGGGGAAACGACATTTTATTATTTCAACAGAAATACCACACAACATATTTGGCATCGTTTTAAAATGTGACAGAAATAAAATGAAATAAATGTATGCATTTATATTTGCTGATTCTAGGTTTTATTTTCTTTCCCCCTTTTTATCAATATTCGTTTCAAGTCTGTTTATCGAATATTTAAAGTGCTTCAAATATGAAGTTCGTTTTCGCCCCCTGTCGTATATGAACTCTTGTAGTGAAAATAATTGTTATGCATTAAAGAATATTAATATTGGTGACAAAACTGACAAAGCCAAGATCAAATAGAACTTATCGTGCATGGCAAATGAATTAATATGTAGTTATTAATAATACACTTAAAACTATTGGGGTTCATTTTAATTTAAATATCTAAATATATTTAAAGAATAGAATTCTGCGGCGATTGTTTTAAAAATTATACAGTGAGACAACTGTACTGTATTTGTTGTAGCATACTGTACTGTCAAAGGTTGTGTTACTGCTGTGTCATTAGTGTCGCTTTCTAATACTGTATTGTCCATTTCAGGTATCAAAAAGAACAGTACCGAACCAGGTAGGTGGTATAACGAATATCGGCGCTTTGTGGGGATTAAGTTCTTGTATATGTGCTTTCTTGTGTTCATCTGGTCGATGGGACCTCACTGACCTGGTGCGATCAAGAGATCATTGCCCAAGAGCGAGGACTCGGGTAAAATGCTTAAGTTGGCAGCTAAAAATACCGTCGCCATAGCAGTAGTGTAGACGACGTCTGTATTCAATATGTATGTCGCTATAATAGTGTTCTCAATGTTTAAAACGGGAGGGTCGCCACCTGCGCAGGCGCGGGAATTGAGTCCCAAGCGACGATAACAACACACGCTAAAAACGCAAAGGCTCATTAGTAGACGCTTGTTTGTAAACAATAACACGCTATGGCCATCTGACGCATGCGACCAGACTTTCGCGCCCAAATTTGTCTGCACCTTTTTCTTGTATTCTTCAATATTTCTGGAAATGAATCCTAGTCAATTTTCAGTTTTTACTCAAACAATTTGGCTATAAGAAAAGTGCAGACTATAAATAGGACTATTTTGTGAATTTGTGATTGAAAGAGGGAACTGGCGGTGAAAAGGTTAATGAACAAACGTCACACCAATTCACTGAATGAGCCACTTGATCAAAAAGGAACCAGCAGTGGCAATCAAAATGCTCGAATATCTGCCGGTATTATAATTCATTGTGGTTTTGTTTGTTTTTTATTTGTAGTAATAGTTTACACTGAACAAAATGCTGATACGGGAGTCACGCCACCAGAGACGGCGAATGATAGTACAACTCCTGGATTAGTCGATGACACCGAGACAACAGGTACGTTATTTCAGATCTGTCTTACAGATAGCCTGACACGTACGCGTAGTAGCGCCATTGCCGGCCGAACGGCATCAGACCTCATTAACCGGAGAACACCGCGGAGGGCGCACATCATGTTACAGAACCGAGTTAGTAACGTTGGCCCACACAGAGTGTCTCATAATTGGAGTGGTGGCGGGGGCAGCAACTTGAAAGTTAAAGCGGGGTAGTCGTCGCGCTGCGCATGTGCGACATTTGTGTTGATAAACATTGATTTTCCCACAATCCAATGTGCTCTTCCAATAGAAATCATAGGTATGAGGTTTGACCTGGGCGCGACTTGCACTGATAACCGCCGGTGACTCCTCGATACCTTCCAATCACCTAAAAATACTTAATTAAAGCTTGGAATCGTCTCAGTTTGTACTCGTTGATCTGTGCAACAGTCAAAGTCGCCATCTTTGTTTATATGATACTACCTTTATATCTCGCGCATGCGTGGCGCGACGACTACCCTTTTACCACAGTTTATCTTGTTCATCAACAGGTACGCCACCTCTCAGCGCTACGTACATCATGATAATTATCAGTGGAATATTAGCTGTCTTCTTCCTCACTTGCTATCTGTGTCACAAATTCTGTCCAGATGCCGCGGTAAAGCGGTGCAAAACAATAATTGGAGCTTGGGTGGCGCTGCTGATAGGAATATGTGAGTTTTTGATGGGATGCTGCGATTGCTATGACAGTTGGTGTGACAAGGAGGTTAGGAGCGTCGGCGAAGCCTGCGGTTGCAAGTGTTCAGAAACATGTTGTGCAATTGGGGTTCCCGAAGTCAGGGAGCCTGTTTCCCCGACAGTTGACAGAAACGCCCAAGCAACTACGAGACACCAAGACGATCCCCGCGGAAGACTCGTGCCACTGCCTGATACGCCGATGGTGCCACCAATGGAAAGAACATCGAATTCTGGAGGAATTCGAACCGATGTAGAGTCTCTGGATCGCGATCCATCGCCGCCACCTTATGAGGGAGTTACTGAATCACTTATAGGACATGGTAATTCAGGTCAACCAGTGGTGGTCCCCAGTATTCTAATCCAGTTAGATGACCCGCCTGCAACTCTCCCTTTATATGAAGACGTTATGGTTGACAACACAAGTAGTGTTTAACATTAAGCTCCGGTAAACCATTCTAATGTATTCATTGATTCTGGTCTGAGAAACCGACAAAATGTAATACGACAGTTGACGAAAATAAAGTTGTCTAGCCTTTGATTATCAAACGGGTATACTACGGATATTAGTACGGTTTCTTGAACCCGTGCGAGATTCTCCGACAAGTCTCGTCATTGACCTCAGTGAAACAGATAAATCGGATTGAACGCATTTGTAATGCGCCGAATCAGAGTAGGTACAACATATGACAACGGACATGGTGGGATGTCAGATTTGCAATGACAACCACGTGCCTCTATAAATGACACATAAGAAACAAGTAAACAAGTAATGCTCAACTGTCGTCTTTACGATATTTTATCATCCCATCTGTCCCATTCTATCCCGACTTTTTTTAGTGACATGTATGCTTTAGATTTTCGTTCTGCCTTGTCTACGTTTCATTTAAAGTACAACAGTTGACTGAATAAAGTGTGGTCTTTCTGTGTCCACTGTGAGAACGCATATCGAACATAAATCAAGAATAGTATCCTCGGGGGCGGAGCTACGTCACGGACGTTCTACGTTGCTAAGACGCGCACCACTATACCACGTATTTCTATGGGCTTTGTGCGCGCTGCTGTGGAACGCCGGTGGAGCCGGTGAAAACTCGAGAAAACAACACAAACTCAACTTTGAAGTAATCCTGAACAACCAAATTCATATATGTTACACATATATGAATCGCAACATCGCAAAGTACCGTTTTCTGCGAGTTTTTGGTCTTTGTTTTCACCGCGAGGGTTGCCAGGCGGTAGAAAATGCCCGGATGTTCGCCCCGAGGATACTGGGTATCAGATTAGGGTTCCCTGATTACGCGTATGTCTGGATTTCTTCCTAAGTTTTCGCATTTACAATCAGTGATCATGACGTTGATTGGCCGATACAAAATAGGACGCTGCTAATCTGAATATTATAATTTTCCGAACAATCGGTGATAGTGAATTTTATTTTTCACGTGTCATATATCGATTGTTAGTTTCCACAACGACAAAAATGCGACCACCCCATTCTTGATGACGTTCTTGATAGCTTTAATTTTTAGGTGATTGAAAGGTATCGAACGAGTCAATAGCGGTAATTAGTGCAAGTCGCGCCCAGGTCAAACCTCATACTTGTGATTTCCACTTGATTGCCATTAGAAGAGCGCATTGGATTGTGGGAAAATCATTGTTTATCAACACAAATGTCGCACATGCGCAGCGCGACGACCACCGCCCTTTAAAGGGCAAAAGCTTAGCAGCAAGTCCAGATCTCATTGGAGAGTGAATAACCTGGGACACAATGCGCAGACTTACAAAGCTGGCGGCGTACACGCAATATTCACGCTATTCTGTCCTCTGTTGTACTTAATACCTCAGTGCTCTTCATTGACTGATTATAATTACTAAATAATTATGTATCCATATGTAAATTATATGTTAATTAATAAAACATTCATTATTTTTTCAGGTTCTAAAATTGTGAAATACATAACTGAAGAAGGATTAATAATTGCCATTGTTGTCGCCATCATTATGGCTTTGAAGTATTGTAATAACACATTCTGTGTTGAATTGAAGAGTATGATGGCAGAATGTCTTGGTCTTGCTGTTCGAATGGTGGCATACGTTCTCACATGCTGCGAAGGGCCCGGATGTGACGTTGATGATTTTCAAGAAGTCGTAACAGCCTGTAATTGTTGCAGACTTGTCGAAGCATGTAAAAGATGTACTCATCGTACGGCCAGCTTACCAGACAATAACGATAATACCTCTCAAAACGAAACGCATGAATCGTTACAATTGACAATAACCGATGAAGGCGAAGATTCGGATGAGCAAGAGGATGTCGATAACGACGAAAACCTAGTACTATCCCAAGAACGGCACATGAACGAGCCGGGTTATATGCTACGTCCAACTGCACCTCCGGACCCCGAAGCGCCGCCACCGTCTTATGATGAGTTAGAGAGTGGTCAAAGACACTCGTCTGGTGGCGCTCAGACTCAAACCGATGTGCCATATTTTCCGCCCCCTTCATATGAAGCTGTAGTTGAAACGCGAAGTACGGAAGTTTGAGTATATCGTTTTCACGTGGAACAAAAAGATTCATTATGTTTTTCTCATTTACGGGCTAGCACTTTTTTTAATTTCATGTTTTGTTTTTAGTAACTGTCTGTAGAGATAGAGATGCCCTATAGCCTTTCATGATTGCAAACGCATTTATAAACACTGTTTCTCCCCAAACTGAGCTGAAATCATGAGGACCTTACTAAGATAAAGTTACTTTCTCGGCAATAAAATGTTGAACCCCTTTAAATTGTGAGTAACTTGGGCGAATAAAGTTGAAAGCTACGGAACTCGTGATTGGTTGATAATTGATCGAACTAGTAGAATACACTGGGATCTGTATCGTTTGTCAACCAATCAGACTTCTTCTTTTTTTCTCTGCAAAGTAAAAGCGTCATGTTTTCATTTTTTGAAGAATGTGTAATTTGAAAACAAGTTTTTGCACGGGATCGCATGCTTTTATTTCAAACTTTTTTAAAGCTAATATGATACAAGAATAAGCAAGCCTTAGATTTGCGAAAACCACCTGTTTTGAAATGGCGGAGTGATACAGTTACAGTTAGCAGTCATCAGGGCCAGGTTTCAATACCGAGATGGTGTTATTTACTGTTTGATTTCCACATGAGACAAATCACTCTTTTTCTAATTTTGTAACATTGTTTGTGAACTTGACTCATTGGTTCTATGCATAAAATCATAACCATGCTTTTATATTTGTATGTTGCTGTCTATGGGATATTTATTGTAGTATGAATCCTGCACATTGTCGTCTAGAGGGAGTTTAGTTGCAATGGGAATTAATGTCGTATTTTGTAAATAAAATCATTATTTACACTTCGTATGGTTTATAGCTTTTGTGATTTTCTGGAAAAAAACAGCCATGTCAAGATGATTGATATCTATACACATAAACAGATCATATTGTTTTATAAAATTAAGAAATTGACTCATAAAGTAGGGGAGTCGTCACCTGCGCATGCGTCAGATGGTCATAGCGTGTCATTGTTTACAAACAAGCGTCTACCCATGAGCCTTTGCGTTTTTAGCGTGTGTTATCGTAGCTTGGGACTCAATTCCCGCGCGTGCGCAGGTGAGAACCATCCCGCTTTAATAGATTGTGGACCGACGATTCTATTGTTTATAACGCGAATAATGTTCCTTCCCATTTGTTTTTTTATGTCGAGAAAACCCCTTCAAGATGGCTGAGATTATCATAGCGCCCTCAACCGTGATCGTGTGGGAGCCTTTTTATCACGCGTGCGTCTTTTGAGTAACCGTGATGGGTTCGATGACGTCACTGCAATCGACAAAAGTGGGTTATATAACTGACGAGTGGTGTACCTTGACGTCACGGTGCTTTACATGCGAAACTGTTGTCCGTAGTGTATACGTATAGCTGCGAAGAAAGCGTGGTATATAGCGAGCGTCTATTAACTGGGTAAGATGGTATTGGTGTTGTCAAATTTCTACTGCAAGACAAAAACTACATTGTGTTGACTATACTTTAGTGTTTAAGTAGACATGTGTCGTTTGTGAGCAATCGTACAGAGTGTAGCCAGGGTTAACTTGTTACATTGACACTGGGTATGTAAGCATATACGGGGAGAGAGTGAAAATCGAGAAAAGGCACTGGCATTTTAATCCTTAAAAATTAGGCCTACTGGTAGTTATTAACCGCAAAAAACGTTGCAGTTTTGCTCAACAGTCTTTGGTCAATAAAATGTAATCACTTTTCCATAAAAAAAGAAACGACCGTGATGGTTTCTCCATTAACCAATAATCGATGGTATTGTCTTTGTATAGATTGCACACTAACTCGTATTGCCTGTACCGCCAGTAACAATGGACGGCAAGACATGGATCGATCTAACGTTGGGTAAGTACCATTAACAATTAATAAAGTATTAATAAACTGATTGGACAATTCTAGCCACACCGTCTTGTAGACAGTGAAGTTATGTTGACAAATAAACAAAGTTTTCAAGCGGAAACTTTGATTACGTTTAACCACAGGCAACCATAGTTATATCGAGTCAGGGCGATTATTTCATATAACACGGTCCTATGAAACGATTCCCCGTCTATGTTCCCGGTACCAACTTTCAAGGAACGCCGGAGCTAGAAATGGATATAATGTCGTAATGAGTGTTGGTAAACATGACAGTTACCGACTATCTTGTTTTAATGTACGTTTCAAAGTTTGTCATATTATCATAAGTCTGGTAGAAAAAAATTAAAAGATGGATGACCACTGAACACATACAATCCATTAATCGCCAATTTTATAGCATGGTCGGCACTGCGCTATACTTGTCATAGCAATGTTGTTGAACTAGGGCAGTCTCAAATACTTATTGAAGTAAAACTAATCTTGTTGTTTACCGGGGAAGTTGAAGTTGAAAACACGTTTACTGTGGTCGATAATTGGCCGCCACAGTTGAGTATGGCTTTGAACACCAATTGAAGGCTATTAAATCATTTCATGTGAAACTAACTGAATTTTATTTATTTAAGTGTTAGGACTGGGACAGTATATCACTGTCTAAAGTGTAATGGGAGAACAAGAGATAGTATGTGATAAATTGAGACTGTCCCTTTGCTCGTGATATTAATGTCGTGTATAAATGGTTATTGGTTGTTTTATCTTATTAACCCAATACGATACGGTGTATGCTTATTTTACTTTCAGTGTTGACGATATGGAATGTACCACATACAACAGGTAAGTGTTAATTTCACTGTGACGAGAAGTGGAACGACATCACCATATGATATAAGTGTAATGTGTACACGACTCGACTTTACTGATATGCCTGTCTGCTCTTCATTGTCCGAGTCGCCAGAGTTGACCGATGAAATATGAAGATTTGACCAATGACTGTGCAACTGACCATTAAGGAAAACTATGGGAGAAGAAATGTTTGAAAATTATTAGTGTAATTTGTGTATTTTAATTTCTGCAATTTTTAAATTATTTTTCTATATTTTCTCTGTACATTTCAGTGACCGTAGTTACGTTTTGATAGTGAATGAGGTGCCATATACCAGCTATTAATCATTTACGCCCCTAGCAGCAATTTCTCGCTATTATATAAGGCCGTTTGTCGTGTTCTCCGAAAGGCTTCATAAAAAACAAGGGTCTATGATAAAATGAAACCATGATAGTAAAGTGTAGTACTTTTTTTATCACTAAAATGTCTTTATGTAGCCAAAATACTACTCTAATCAGTCCTCCTGAAAACCAACACTGGCTTTCCAATTACTGTTCAATATTCATTTTACCATTTACAGGGCAATGCTCATCGTCGACTTTAGAACTAACAGCCATAACCGCTGAAAATCGCATATTTACCTCCCCCCGCTATCCAAACCCGTACCCAGCAAACTCCTTATGTTCGTGGAAGATATCTACTGGATTCACCGACCATCGAGTGACGTTAACGATAACTGTCAGTCAGCTTGAGGAGTACTATTCCGGGGTGTGTGCCTATGACGTAGTGAGGGTTGGAGACGGTGAGTTGGCCGTTCGCATTTAGTAGGTATTTTAAAGAGTAAGTCGTCAATCCTAGAGATTGCGACACGGAATTGTGCAAACTATTGTTTGAAGGAAATTTCTTACTCCCCAGGTCCTAATGCACTGTCTGATACGATCGTCGAGTGGTGTGGGGATGACTACCCATCGTACATCACCAGTACCGGTCCCGATTTGTTTGTTCAATTTATCACTGACTCAGTCGCACAACGAACTGGTTTCTCAATCACGTACCAGAGTTTCGGTAAGTGATTTAATAAACCACTGTTTTTTTTGTTTTGTTTTTGTTGAATGTGCACACACTAATTCTCAAAACAGCTACACAAACTACTACCAAATGTCAGTACATAGTATCTATTGCTGTCGCCACCAATTTGAAAGTACATGCAGTAAATAAAATGAAAAGAAAATTTTCGCTTAAGATTTCTTTTTCATTTCAATTTCATTTCTGATGAAATGTGTAAGAGAGGGAGTTAAATTTGTATAGTGACTCGTATATAACAAATATTTTCCTATTAAAATGAGATGATTCAATAGAGTACTTTTTTCTGGGATTCCAAAGAATATATTTTCCGATGTTAGTGTACGACTTTTTTTTTGTAGTTTTAAAATTCTATCAATTTAGAATTTGTTTCTAACAAAAAATTGCAATTTTGCATTCCCAGAATAGGTGCTCTATTATTTTCTCTTGTTTACAATATTTTCATTCATTATAAGTTCTAAGTTTGTTCTAATTTGTGGCAAGAATGTGATGTGAAATGTTTAACTGCAAATTTCTTTTCATTTTTTCTTCCACTGTTTCAGTAGTTCTATATAGTTCCAAATTTTCCCTAATCTGAACGATTTGCATCATGGGATCATCTTACATCATTTCATTTTGGGATTGATGCCGGACTCTCATACCGTGCTTTAAAAAAATAAAATACTAGTAAAATAAAATGTTTGTCGACGCGAATTTACAGAATGAAGTAATAAACACACACAGCGTTTGTTACCGTGACGTCACGGTGGATCCGGACTCCGCGTTTATACAACTTTTAACTTGCAGATATCATATCCACTAAATTAAAAATGCGCAAAGCTATAAGAAAAGGAACAATTGTTGAATGTTATTACAAATACAATATGGAAAAACGTATATATTTATTAATGTGTTGTATGATACTGCGTATTGAATTCGTAGTGTTTTTTCGGTCAACCAAATAACCAGTAAAAATACAATATAATTCAAATGGCATTATCGTACTTGAGCTGTACATATCTGCCTTCGTATACTGCTTCTATCTCACGCTTCTTTTACCATGGAAAACTGTAAAAATATTGTTTTACCAACGATGCCGTTTTCCGAGTACAGCAACAACTATTATTATATTACAATACGTCACTCGAAATTTGTATAATTGCTCATTTTCAACTCATATTCGCAGCATCCTGTTTTGATAAATTCCATAATTATACTTGCATTATTATTTTGAATCTATCCGGCTAAGTAAAAGTGAAAACTTTATGGTTGATGGTCGGTCTTCAGGTCATTAGAATTACTGTCATGAATTTGTTTTCGCGTATCTGTTGACCGACTTAATTAGTTGATTATTAGCTTAATTGCTGTGTTATGTCTGTCATCGTTTAGGCCTATTTGAAGTTTTGGACGGAACTTGGCTCAGTGATTTGGAACTAATTACCAGATAACCGTCGCGATTCTGACAGTTGGTATCCATAGTTATTAATGTAGTGAACGATTAATCAAAAGATATGACGTATTCAGTACTTAGTGTGATTGGCTTTATGATTGAAGGTTACGCCCTAGAGTCTTTTTACTGCTTTGTAATTGGTTAGAGTTTTGAAAATGAATAAAGAGAGTTTGAGTTGGTCTTGGGGAGCACAGCACGATAGACGCAGTAGAGAGAGTGCAGTCCTGCAGTCGAGGGTGCAGTCCTGGAGAGTCCTGGGGCGAGCCTTGAGGCAGTCCAGTCTTGGGCGAGTCTTGGGTCAGCCTTGCGTTAGCCTTGGGTATTTTTCCCCAGGGCGCTGTGTCTTATAGAGTGCTCGATTGACCGACTAAGACGAGAGCTGAAACGTATTTCGTTGTGTGTGCCTTATTTGACTGTAAAGTTAAAGTGACTTTCCCGATCCCGTACCTCAAGGGGACGAGATAGAGAGACGAGACGAGTTTCCCCCCTGACACGTGTGGAGAACCCAGAGAGAAGAGAGAATTTTCCCCCTGATACGTGAGTGGAGATCCCGGGCAGGTGTTTAACACACATTGACATCCTGTGAAGAGAAGTGAAATGGCGAAGGTGTGTCTTTCTTGTGAACCGAACTAACTGGCTCAATGGCAGAGACGACTCAGAAACCGCGCTTGACGACTAACACCGTTAACAGAACGACACCAATGTACAACGCTGAAGAGATGAAGACTTCTGAACCCCTTATGAAGGACGAATATCGTATAGGACTATATAATTAAGAATTGAGCGACATTAAAGACAAGAAGATGAAAGAACGACCCAGAATAACGCGACAAGAGAAGAAGACGCTTATAGACTTTGACTTTAGCTATCTGTGTATTGCTTAGAGAACCGCTGGTTGGACACTGTAACTGACACTGTGTAACTCAAGGACGTTGAACTCTTTTCCACAATCCCAACACTATTGCTCAGTAATGTAATGTAATGTATTGCTTGCTTTTCCTATTGTTTTTACCGTTTTTTTTTTGTGATGTTGAATTGTATGTTATGTAAGCGCCCAGATCTTTGTTTTGAACTGATATTTAGTGACGTGCGAGGTCCTTTATAACGATTTAAGCGCGCCTCAGTGGACAAGTATTTGCAACACAGTGTTTTGAGTTTTGTGAAGTTTTATGGAGTTTTACTACGGAATATGATGGGGAAAGTAATGCCCCAATGAGTTTTTCAGAGTTTTGGGATTTGTCGAGTACAGAGATACCGACGTTTTAAGAGTTGTTTTTGTTTATGTGTTGTTTCCGGAATACTTCTGACGCTTTTTGAGTGGAGAGCACCTTTGTAACGTTTTTTAATGTCTTTTTGAGGTGAGAGTTTGGTGCGCTTATATGCGTATTGTTTGATAACGCAAGCTTTTTGTTCATGATGGACAGGTTTATGTAACTCAGTAGTTTCTATCTTTTTGCTTTTCCCCATCTTTTTGCCAGAGGAGTAATGTGTTATGATAGCTTTGTCTTTGCATTCTGTTTCCACGCCGTATGACTTTTGTTTAGATTAACGACTTTTGAGTTCAGTTGAAGTTTATAACCGTATATGACAGGAGTTTGATTAATAGCTTTTTATTTATTGTTTATTAGTTACCGCTTTGCAATGGTTTAACCGAAAGACGCATCCCTGGTAATCACGTGATCATGCTGTCGACTGCAGCGATTGGCTGATCGCTTGGTTACACCGCCACGCCTTAGTTTTTTGACCTTTTGATATAGAGTTCGTAACCTTAGTAACGGAGACAGTGCAGCGAAGGGTTACCTCAGCGAACTGTTTGAGAAAAGTGAGTCGATTGGTAGCCTTTCCCTTGTTTTTGATTCATAACCGTTGATATTTGTGACTTTATAACCATTGTATTTAGACATTGTAATCATTGTACTTAATTAGTGTGTTTTACTCTTTTTGATTTATTCCTTTTATTAGTATTGTATTTAACCCTATGACGATGAGTGGCTGACGGTATCTTTGATTT